AATACATCTTAAATCATCCATTTTCCTCCTTGCAGCCACATTGTTGAATTTCGCTATTGTACTATTGCACAAAAAAACAAAAAAGATAGGGTAGAATTCGGTTTGTTGTTTTTTTTTTTTCAATGCCGCGATTGATCTTGGTAAGGAGGACGTTCTCTTTCGTTGATCAATTCCTAAAAGTGACATTACAATACTCCGATCAAATTTATCTTGATTCTTGACCAGAAAAAAGAAAGTCGAAAGAAAACCTTCTTTTCATCCTTCTTTCGTATAACAACAACACTATGTGCCCAAGAGGTTGGTTGTATCAATCTTAAAGAATACAGGTAAAATCAAGATCACGCATACACTAACTCCAAATTATTTGGATCACGTTAGATGCAATGTGTGCATTTAGCAACAATACACGACATCGATATATAATGAAAAAATATAATATTTTTTTTTCATTTGCATTCTCGTTTAATCAATGAAACTACAAAACAAGCTTTTTTTTTCTAAAACCGATTTCAAAATGCTATGTTAATGAGTAAATTGTGGGGTATTATTACTGTATGTGCTACATGCCTGGATGACGTATCGTCATTCGAGGTGAGTATCTCCAACCCGGGGCTAATTGGCCATGCCGAATTTTGCCTATGTGAGTAGCTTAAATGTTAACATTTTTAAACACGCGTCCAGTTAATCTCAATGCTTATCTAAAGTTTTTAGATTTTGCCGAGCTATCTGATAAGTTAAACTCGTGTATCATTTTATTGCTGCCATTAACATTAGTTATTATGGGCACATTCCGTGGCTACACCAAATAACTTTAATTACTCTCCATTCTCTTTCAAAAACGGGACAACGCAGGAACTTATGGAATGGCTATTACGAAAGCCGATGTTTTTGTTTTTTTTTTCCGAAAAACAATCGCACATATAACGTGTTATTCCTCGTACGAGATGCTGTTGGCTGGTCGGAATGTTATTTGTTACTGAGTCATCCAACTATTGACATAACAACCCGCCGTGTGCGAAATTTGTTTACAAATACAAACAGCCAATTCCTAATTTTTAAGTGGACACCTATTTAGAGTCATTAGCTAATGCAAATATTTACACGGCGTGTCTCGAAAATTCTTATTTGCCACACACATAAACGCAGTAACTCGCCGAACATGTAGAATGCAAACAAACAAACCCAACTCCCCTTGAACCTCGACAAGGCTTGTATGACGCAAGGAATATGTAAATAATGACACGGCTGAAAAGCAATCTAGAAGTGCACGCATCGGTACTCATTTCAAAAAAAGGTTCTTGGAACAAAATTTGGCTGGCTAGTGCTTTTGAGTGTCGTCGATTAAGCGATCGAATTGCTTATTTTGTTCGCCATGAAAATTTTCCGAATTGCCCTGAGCGAATGTTGGTCGTGATCGTTCATTGGACGATTTCATCGGGTCGGGTCGTCACAGCGGTTGGTCGTCAAAGCGGTTGAACGAAAGAGCTCCTCATCGTCATCATTTCGCACAGTCAGCGTTGCCCATGCACGTTTTTCCTCAACAGTTTAATACCGCGAGATTCATTTTGGAATTTCTTAAACTTTATCAAGTGTTAAAATTAGAATCAGTCGGACATTACGAAATCCCAAAATAAAAAGAGTTTATTGTGTTTCAGACAATCATGCATCATTGGTTATCATTACATTATAATGGGGTCTTGTGATCATTGTTCCAAAATGTACGATTTGTTTGTCAGATGATCAACCTTAAAAAAGCACCATTGGGTCATGCCCGTTCGCCCTCGTTGGTTGTTTGTTTGCATTCTACATGTTCGGCGAGTTACTGCGTTTATGTG